TTGAAAAGCCATGTTATCCATAAAATAAATACATACATACATACATACAAAGGCTGGGGATATAGCTCAGCGAGAAACCCCCAGGACAGCCAGGCATGGTGGTGCACACCTGTAATCCCAGGCTGAGGCAGGAGGATCACTGCAAGTTTGAGGCCAGCATGGGCTCTATAGTGAGTACAAGGCCAGCCTAAACCACATAGCAGACTTTGTCTCCAAAAAAGAAAAAAAAATCTCCAGGACAGGAGGTGGGAGTAGGGAGCTGGGTGTAGTATTGGGATAGCTATAATCTCAGCTACTGGGAAGGACAACAAATTTGAGGCCAGCCTGGACAATTTAGCAACATCTGTTCTCAAAATTAAAAAAATTTTAGAAGGGTTAGGGGGGCTGAGGATGTAGCTCAACGGTAGAGCATTTACCTAACAAAAAGTTCAAGCCTTAGTAGTAAAAGTAAATTTTATGGTTATGTAAATTACAGCTAAACAAAAAAAGAATAGGAAAAAGCCTCTAAACAACCACATCATGGGCCAGGGATTTAGCTCAGTGGTTCCGCCGCCTGCCTCACAAGCATAAGGACCTGAGTTCGATCCGCAGGTACCAAAAAAAAAAAAAAAGCCACATCATGATTTCAAAAATCACATACTAAAGCTCATATATTTTCTCATAACAAAAAAATAATCCCAACTCTCACTTGAAATCTATTTATTTTTACTTTACATATACAGTACTTTGTATAGATTGGGGTTATACAGATTGAAAGTCCACAGGGGATCAAAACGTTACTATTTAGGAGAAACTGCATTGACATGGAACAGGTATACTGACAGTGAAATTTAAATAGAAACAAAAAAACTTGTTAGCATAGTCTGAAGTCATTTGATAAGGACAAATTACACACTTACATTTTAGTATGTTATATATTTACAATATACATTTAGCAAGGTTAACCTATAAACTTCATCACAGATATACAATTTCTTGCAATAATCTATGTTTACAGTAAAAAAAAAAAGAGTTAATCCACTTATCACTTTCATCGTACCAATCACTTTTCTAAGTACTGAACATTTTAGTTACTCATTTAATAAATCCAACAATTCTACAATGCAAGTATTGCTAGCACCTCACTGTACAGATGAGGAAACAGAAATCACATAGCTGAGAAAGTGGCAAAGTCAACCTTCCAACTTGGCAGCTGGCTTCAGAATCCATCTGTTTAACCATTCAATATACTATACTGCCTCTCGGTGATGAGTCATCAGTCATTAAAAAAAATAATAACAAAGTGCAGTACGAAGCCAGGTATGATGCCACAGGCCTGTGATCCCAGCACTGCAGAGGATTACTGTGAGTTCGAGGCCAGCCTGGGCTACATAGCAAGTTAAGGACAGCTTGAACTGCCTAGTGAGACCCTGTCTCAAAAGCAAAACAAAAGTACATTATGAGCTAAACATGGATACTCAGCCTGGGTATCACAACAAGACCCCACTCAAATATTTTTTGAAAACTGTTCTATGACAACCTATCATCTGGAGGAAATCTAGAGATCAAATGCCAGCCAGCCCTTTAGAATCTGACTCCAACATGTATTTCCACTCATCCTTCTCTTGCAATTCTAAACCAAACCCGACTTCTAAAGCTCCTTGCAAAACAGGACCTGTATTTTCACGTCACTGTGTTAAAGGCCGTTCCTTGAATTTTCTGCCTAGAAAATTCCTACTTATCCTTCAAAATCTAGTTCCTCTATGCCACTTTCTCTGATTCCACCACGCCAAACTGTGTTCTCACAACATTTTATACACATCTCTATTAAACCTTTGTCATATTACATCATATTTGAATGAGCAACTCTCTTTTCACCTTCCATTTTCTAAAAACTGCAATACTTCAACGGGGGGGGGGGTGTATAACACAGAATGACTAGTTACCTAAGAAGTTCATACAGTCAAGATTTCTTTCTTTTACTCTTCTTCAATTTTTCTTTTTTCCTTTTTGCAATATTGGGATCAAACCCAAGGCCTCACACATGCTTGGCAAGTACACTATAACTGAGCCATACTCCCAGTCTCAAGATTCCATTTTAACAAAAGTCATAACATTTTAAAATGTCATAGGAATAAAGCTCATCTGCATACAAACCAGAAATTACAAAAGCAGTCACCAGGAATATTTTCAAGAAAAGACTGACACTATGAACTTTAAACCTGAGGAATTTGTTTCAGTAAAGACACCAAGGACGGAGAGGAAAAAAATTTTTTGAGAAAATTTTAAATTAAGACTAAAGTTGCCAAAATCGAAACCAAAAGATTCAAAAGAATAACAGATTACAAGGCTATCAGCTAGCAGGCTATTGCTTGAGTTGTACATAGTAACCTAATGCCTTCAGAAGTTATTCTTCCACTTAACTCAGGTCACTTCTCAACACTAAATCACTCACTAAGAAATCCCAGTAGAATATTATGTTTCATTACTTGTTCCAGATGAATATTTATCTTTAACTAGAAAAAAACAAATACAATCACATCCACACAGTTAACTTATTTTTCCCGAGTATGTAATTTACAACAACCAAGCTAATACCATATAGGATAGCCTACAGTTTTTAGTATTTAATTAGTATGAAAGAATATATGTGATCCCTCAAATGTTTACTGAATTAACTGCATTTGCCTCTATTTTAGTTGAAAAATTACTCTTGCCTATTAAGGAAATGTCATTTCACTTTGCTTTACTTACAAAAAAAAGCAGGCAGGCATAGCATGGTGGCGCAACCTGTAATATCCCAGCACTTTGGGAGGGTGAGACAAGGGGATTGCAAGGTCAAGTCCAACCTGAGTGATTCAGCAAGACCCAATCTCAAAACGAAAACAACAACAAAAAATACTGGGGATATAGCAGTGTGTGAGTCCCTGGTTTCAATACCCAGTACCACTCCCCTAATGGTTCTCTCAACTATTGCTTATTTTTTCCCTATCATCCCATACTTATTTATAATTTACCTAATCTGCTAAGGAAGCTTCTATTAAATCTGAACTATTATTTACTCCAAATCTTAGCTTCAACGATCTTCCTTTCAAACTCTATCTTCAATGCTCCAAAGGTTCTATTGCCCGAATTTTTTTTTTTTGGTATCGGGGATCAAACTCAGGACCTTGCATTTGCAAGGCAGGCGCAGTGCCACTCAGCTAAATCCCCGTCCCCTCAAACTCTTTTTTTTTAAATGGTACTGAGAATTGAACCTAGGGCATTATACTGAGCTACATCCCAGCCCTTTATATATTAACTTTTGAGACAGGGTCTTCCTAAGTTGCTGAGTTGCCTAGGTTGCGCTGAAACTTGGTGATCCTCCTGTCTCAGACTCCCAGAGCACTGGGATTACAGGGGTGTACCAGTGCATCCAGCTGGACTACAACCATTTCCATGCCTATAAATGTCTAGTTTTCCAGAGATAAACAAATCTGTCAGAACTAAGGATGGTTTAACATCCCCCAAGGCAACTTTTTAAGTAAGTCACACCTTTAAATCAAATTTCAACTTTCTATTCCAACTAACATAAAATTCAAACCAACTCAATTACTTCTATGTGTTACCCATTCAGGCAGTCACAGACCTGAATTAATATTTGTGTAGTATTTCTCCATTACCTAGGCTGAGAATTCTCTTCATACATTCTTTCTTTTCCCTCTTTGAAAAGACTTATGGTCTGTTTAGTTTTCTTCATCAAATTTTCCATGAACACCCTAAAATATTCATTTTCTCCAAGCGTCTCCATCTTCCCCTCATATCTTGACAAGATAATACGGAGATGCTGGTAGGTGTCAGGCAGCAGGTCTAAAATATAAGGTGGACTATTCTTTAGTGCCAGCTTTGGATTCTGACACAACCGCACCACCTGCAAAAAATGGAAAAGAAGGTATATTACTTGGAGGACCTTAAGGACAATTTCCTATTTAAAGTCTAAAAAAAGTTATGAAATTTTTATGCAGATATACGAAAAATACATGAGAATATAAGAAATTATCTATAACCCATGGCTCACAAGCAATCATTCTATGTGTCCCCTAGAAGAGGTTCTTACAACTCTGTGAGAGACTGGGGGTATAGCTGAGTGATCTCACACTTGCCTACCATGAGGAGATCTGTTTTTGAGCCCCAGCAAGGAGGGGAGGGATGACAATAGCAACAAAGCTCCATAAAAGATATTAATGTGGACACACAGCAGACTAAACCACTAGAAGGGGTGGGGTGGTCCCCACAAACACCTGAAATCTGCTAAATGAAATGAAATATGACAAGATAATTTTATACATGGCTGACCTCACAATAAAGAAAATTCCCAAAGGCAGAAATAAAGTACATGGCTGCCTTTGGAGTTAAATCCACTTTCTAAGGGTTTGGGTTTTAATAATCACTATGCCAGGAAAAGACTTCCAGGAAGACAGCAGAGCAGTAAGCAACAACAAATCAGTCTCTCCAAGATTTGGAATACAGACACTGGAAAATAACAACTTAGGGAAGGAAAGAAGGAGAGAGATGGATCCCTGGGACCCAGGAAGGACCTGAAGGGAAAATTAAAGCTTATAGGGAAATTGAAGAGACAGACCACAAAAAAAAGGAGCAAACTGCACTTTCTCCCTGGTTCCTTTGGCATGAGAAAGGAAGACTGAATCTACAGAGACACAGTAAAAGAGGGCAACTCCAGAGGCCTCCAGGGAGAAATGCACCAGTGAAAGGGAACAGTGCATGTTGTGTGCTACAACAGCTCGTAAGCGATTCCAGTCCAAGCAACTGCTGTGTCCTATGAGAGGTCCTTGGTCAGATGCCATTTTAGGGAGAGGCCAGCTCCCCCTGGACTCAGAGCAGCCACAGGTCAGCTTCATCTCAGGGCTCCTAGTATTTAACTACCACAGTAACTGGCTGAGGGAAAATCATGGGAAATGTCCATGGTCAGGGGGCCATGGGCAGGCCAGTAAGAGACACTCAGAGTGTTATATAGTAAAAGACTCAGGCCCAACCCCATAACGAGATGTCACATGCAGCCTCAACTTCCATGGATTCTGAAAGTCCCAGAACCAATACCATGCCCTAATTCTACCACTCTCTAGTATTATTCAACATGGATCTGGGCTCTGACCGCCTCCTTTGCCTACTAGCAAGAGCAGAGTCATGCCTTGAACTGGTCACTGCCACAAAACTATAGATCCCAGAAGAAAACCACAGGCTTGAAACCTCAGAGAAACTTTTTTTTTTTTTTTTAATTTTTCTTCATTTTTTTTGACCTCAGATTGTTTTTGTTTCTTTGTAAGAGTGAACATTGTTTATAGCTTTTTTGTTTTGTTCTGTCCTTGTTTTTGTTTTTTCATTCTTTCATTGTCTCCTGTCTTCTTCACCCATTTTCTGAAGCTGGGTAATCTTCCTGTGTCCTTCAGACTTGCTTCTAATCTCTTTTCCTTTATTTATCTATTTTTTCCTCTTCTCCCTTTTAATTTTCTCCCCTTAAGGTAAAACTGCTCTAATGAATGGATATCTATGGTATATAATTTTCTAATTTGTCTTAGATTTTGATATAAAACTATAAATCATATAAATACGGCTAAAAGTGTCAAATTACTAGTTATCACAGTTTGTCATTTTCCAGTCTGTGTTTGATGCTATTGTTATTGCTGATTGTACTACTTCAGCCAAGGTGACATAGTTGCTGTGATCAATTGACCTTCCCTCCAATACCTAGATTGTCTGGAGGACATAAACAATACTATAGTCCAGTACCAAACAGCTGAGCCAAACAGGCTGCAGCCTCTCATTCCTAATAAAAAGAAGATCCTGAGACAGACTCAAAGGCCCAGAGCCAGCTACACCTAGAAGACATCTTTGAAAACTAGTCATTTCCTAAAGAGGTCTCAATACTAGTAATAAAGCTATCTACCATAAGCAATTTACAAGCATCAATGCAGAAAACAACAAACAAACCAACAAATGAAATGAGAAAACATGGAAGCAAGATATAACCCCAGACCTCCAGCTCGCCAAGGCAAATCCAGGAAATTAAAAGCCACCCAAGTCAAACTTTCTGAAATATACCAGTGAAAATAACAAAGATGAATGAATCTCTAGAAAAAAACAAAACAAATACACAGATAATTAAAGAGATGATGACTATAATGAAGGATATGGTTAGTGAATCTAGAGCAGATACAGATTTTTTTTAAAAAAATAGAAGAGCTTAGGAAAGTGATGAAAACCATGAATGCCCAACATAGGAAAGAACTGGATTCCATAAAACAGATTCAGACACAGATCCAGAAGACTAAATATCCTGTTGAAAGTATATACAGCAAAAACAACCAATGTGAAGATAGAATATCAAATCTTGAAGACAGCATTGTGGTTCACGATCATCAAATGAAAGACTTCTTTTTTTTTTGGTACTGGAGATCGAACTTGGATCCTTGCACTTGTAGGACAGGCAGCAGAACCACTGAGCTAAATCCCTGGCCCAAATGAAAGACTTCTTAAAAGCAAGGGAACACACACAAAAAAATCAATCCAATAACTGCTAGATGATGCAAAGAATAACATAAGAGTAATCGAGATCAATGAAAAATCAGAAGATAGCACAAAGGACATAAAAAACCTGTTCACAGAAGAAATTGAAGAAAACTTCCCAAGCAACAAGAAAGAATGTGACATATAGATAAGTAAGGTGTATACAATTCCAATTAGCCATTTCAGGAAAAAACTACACCAAGGCATATAATAGTCAAGATTCCAGAAATTCAATACAAGAACAGAATATTAAAAGCTGTTAGAGAAAAAAAATAAATCACCTATAAAGGAAAACCCATCAGAATCACAGCAGACTTCTCAACACAAACCCTTAAGTCAAGGAGAGCTTAAAGTATTTCAAGCTCTAAAAACAACAACTCCAATCCAGACTGATGTACCCAAAAAAATTATCTTTAAAAACTGATAAATAAGATACTTCCGTGATAAAGGACACCTGAGGAAATTCACGACCACCAAACAAGCACTCCAAAAAGTTTTGAATATTCTAGAGAGACAACAAAGGTAACAATTCCAAAAATCCCAACAGAATGAATCCACCAGGCAAGGCAAACAATAAGGAAAAGAAAGGGAATCAACAACAGGAAAATAAGATGTTGATAAGGACAAGTCAATACCTATCAGCAGTTACAACCATGAATGAATGTGGTCTCAATTCACCAATCAAAAGAAACAGATTATTGGTACAATGGATCAAGAAACAAGATCCAGGACCAGGGATTTAGCTCAATGGTTCCACTGCCTGCCTTGTAAACAAAAGGTCCCAAATTCGATCCCCCGTACCAAAAAAGAAAAAAAAAGAAAAAAAAGAAACAAGATCCAACTATATGGTGCATATAAGAAACACATCTAGGTCAAAAAGAAACTCACAGACTGAAAGTCAAAAGATGGAAAACAGGGCCGGGGATTTAGCTCAGTGGTTCTGGTGGCTGCCTCACAAGCACAAGATCCCTAGTTCAATCCCTGGTACCAAAAAAAAAAGGAAGAAGAAATTAGACAGTTTCTATAGTTGAGTAATAATGCCAGTATAACATACTGGAATTTATGGGATGTAATGAAAGCAGTCCTACAAGGGAAATGTAGAGCAGTGAATTACCAAATCAGAAAAAGAGTGAGCTCAAATAAATAGCCTAATGTTGAACCTCAAGGTTCTAGAAAAAAAAAAAAAGGCAAGTTAAACTCAAGGCACCTACCAGGAAGGAAATTATAAAGATCAGAACAGAAATTAATGCAATTGAGCCTAAAAAAAAAAGAATCAATAAATCCAAGACATGGTTCTTCAAAAGATTAAATAAAATAGATAAACCCTTAACCAACTTTATCAAAAGATGGAAAGAAGATGGGCATGGTGGCCCATGCCTATAATTCCAGCACTTAGGAGGCTGAGACAAGAGGATCACCAGTTAAAGCCAACCTGAACTACATAGTGAGTTCAAGGCCAACCTGAATTACAGTCAGATACTGTCTCAAATAACAACAACAACAAAAGACTCAAATCCATGCAATTAGGAATGAAAAGCATGAAATCACAACAGATTCTGCATAAACCCTGACAATCATTAGTACCACTCTGAGAACCTGCACTCTGATAGAAAATTCAGATGAAATGGACAGAATGCTAGACACATATAAATTATCACAAGATATAAATCAAAAGATATAAAAGTTCCAAATAATCTTATATCAGTTCATGAAATTGAAGAATAGGAAAACTACCAACAAAGAAAAGCCCCTGCCTAGGTCCTGATGGATTCACTGATGAATTTTATAAGAACTTTAGAGAAGATGTAATGGTACTAACTCCACAAACTCTTTAATGAAATTGAAAAGGAAGCGATACCCCCATGTGGGGGGCCTTGCCCCCCCCCCCCGCTAGAACTCTTGAGTGCCTTTTACGGACGTATCCGAGCCTGCTGCAAATTTACCCGGCAACTAGGAAGTAGCCCCAGTACCCTCCTCTTGCTCCTCCCCTCTAGCCCTACGGTATATATGTTGTAACAGGTTCTGCAATAAACGAGACTTGATCAGAAACCTGTCTTGTCTCCATCTCTCGTGTCCCCTGTCCTTTGTCATTCTCACCCCCCCTCTAGGGTCTCCGTTGACTTACCCGCGGGCCGGGACACCCCCAAATTCATTCCTAGAAGCAAGGATTAGCCTGATACCAAAACCAGAGAAGGATTCAACCAAAAAAGAGAACCATGGGCCAATTTCCTCAATGAACCCAGGTGCAAAAATCCTCAATAAGACACTGGCAAACAGAACACAGCAAATCATTAAGAAGATTATAGACCTTGACCAAGAAGGATTCATTCCAGGGATGCAAGGATG